AGGTTAATATCTGAACGTTCCCATGTGCCTGAGAAGGGTCATGGTTAATATCTGAACGTTCCCATGTGCCTGAGAAGGGTCATGGTTAATATCTGAACGTTCCCATGTGCCTGAGAAGGGTCATGGTTAATATCTGAGCTTTATCTAATTAATTTTCAGTGTGAACGTTCCAAAACTTCAGGAGGTCAACTTTACACATTTCCAAATTATCGCATGGGGGTCACATTTTCACACTTCGAGATCGAGACAGTGAAAATGACAGGTTTATAGGCATCGAAAACGTTCTTTGTTTAAACAAGCAAACTAAACAAAAATTAAACTCACTTCATATAAAAGACTTACAGAAAGTTAAGAACCAGAGATCACTGGGATTTTACAGAAAGTTAAGAACCAGAGATCACTGGGATTTTACAGAAAGTTAAGAACCAGAGATCACTGGGATTTTACAGAAAGTTAAGAACTAGAGATCACTGGGATTTTACAGAAAGTTAAGAACTAGAGATCACTGGGATTTTACATAAATGTAAAAACCAGAAATCACTGGGACTTTACAGAAAGTTAAGAACTAGAGATCACCGGGATTTTGCAATGACGAAGATTATGAGTTTATTTGAGTTATTAACATCTCAATATATTGAGAAATTCTTTGAGCAGAAGAAAAAAAAGTTCCTTCTACCGACATGTATCAGTTTTCTAATATATATGTGACACACGATATAATAAAAAGATCTTTAACTGCGCGACGTGCAGCTATTAAAACCTATTAAAAGTTTGATTACATTACATACATTACTCAATTTGTTATACAAAAATTGATCGCAAGTTAGCAGTACATGCCGCCTACTTCACTTTGTAAGAACCACGGTTCTTCTTCGACCTTGTTTCCCATTTAATTATATCAGATGCTTCATTAACTGTATTTCTGTAAAGAAACAATTTGATTGTGTTGCTCGTTTCTCAAGATTTTGTTTTCTAGGACTAGTGGGCTATTCTAAAAGTTTACTTAACCACTCTTAGTTTGTCTTAATAAATGTTAGTTCTGATTAGCGTCGTCGTTTTGCTTTCACTGCTAAGACTTCCTCACTTAGCTTAGCTCTTGCGGTCATTCTAAGAACTAACAAAATTTTAGAATTTAAACTCTTTATTACAGTTTTAATTAGAAAAGTGACAAACAAGCGTTAACTGTCTCATCACGCAGGTCATTCTGCTTGAAATACTACGAAAAATGAAATAATTTTATAAATATCTATATACATGGTTTGTTACTTGAATTTCGGGCAAAGCTACTCGAGGGCTACCTTCACTAGCCATCCCTAATTTTGAAGTGATAGACAAGAGGGAAGGCAACTAGTCAACACCTCCCACTGCCAACTCTTGCGCTACGTTTTACGAATAATGGAAATAAATGCGTACATATTCGATTGTGGGATTCGAACCTACGACTTGGAAATTGCGAGTCGAATACCCATTTCACTAGGCCTTGTCTATATATGTTGAATAATATCAATTCCATAATAAAATCGCTGAGTGAAAATAGAATTTCTCACGTTGTTACATAAATAATAAAACCAGTTCAAGTGGTTACAAATATATATATACAACTAATAAAAGAATTTAGCAAACATTAAAGTACAGAAACAAGGTGGAGATGAATACACAAAACCATATACAAAAATCACTGTGTAAGTAGCCAAACCTTTCCAAGAATAACTTTTATCTACAACTAAATATTGAATTCCTGTCAGTTGCATGAATTCAGGTTTGAATAAAAGCATTTATACAGTCTTACAGTGGCTAATAACAACTCAATAAAACATTGTCTAGTTTTATAAATAACTCAATAAAACACGGCTAGTTTTATAAACAACTCAATAAAACACGTCTAGTTTTATAAACAACTCTATAAAACATTGTCTAGTTTTATAAATAACTCAATAAAACACGGCTAGTTTTATAAACAACTCTATAAAACATTGTCTAGTTTTATAAACAACTCAATAAAACACGGCTAGTTTTATAAACAACTCTATAAAACATTGTCTAGTTTTATAAATAACTCAATAAAACACGGCTAGTTTTATAAACAACTCAATAAAACACGGCTAGTTTTATAAACAACTCAATAAAACCCGGTTAGTTTCATAAACAACTCTAAAAAATATGATTACTTTACAGAAAACACTAAATAAGCATTGTTAGTTTTACAAAGAACGCCAAAGACAAATGGTTAGGTTTACACAGAACACTAAATAAACGTTTTAACCATAGTCAGAGCCGTAGCTAGGGTACGGTGGGGAGGAGGGGGGCGCAGCCTGTTATTCAATAATTCATGCAGAACTATACAGATTGGAAACTTGCCTAGGGCGCAAAAATGGCTGGCTACGGCTCTGAATATTGTAGACATCCGTTAGTAATCCAGGCTAAAACCATTTACCACTCTCTCTAATGGGGCACGTACTCCAAAACCCTTGTACGCCCTATCGCGAATACATAAAAAACTCGTTATTTTGTATAAATTAAATAACTTACAAACTCAGAATATAATAACAAAAGTAATAACCAATAGCATTTTTCTTTTCAAATTGCTCTACGGGGGCTCAGCAGAATATGGTCTGAGGGCTTATAATTCTAAAACTCTGGTTTCGATACCTACGGTAGGGAGAGCACAGATAACCAACTCTGTAGTTTTGTGCTTAAACAACAAATAAACAAAACTAGAACTAAACTATAGAAGAGTTATAAAAGTAGAAAGCAAACACTTTGTTCTCGTTGCCTGCCTGATAATAGGATTTTTGACACAGATTTACTGAACAAAACACAGACGCTAACTTACATTACATAAAACATTTAGTGTAACAGCTTATAGACGCTAACCTACATTACATAAAAACATTTACTGTAAGAGCTATAGACGCTAACCTACATTACATAAAAACATTTACTGTTACAGCTTATAGACGCTTACTCACATTACATAAAACATCTACTGTAACAGCTTATAGACGCTAACTTACATTACATAACATTACAACTCGGATTTCAAGCAGTAGAATATATATACATCATGTCACAATTAAGCAAGAGTTATTAAGCTCTGGAAAACATTAAATGAATATTATAGATGCTAACTTACATAAAAACATTTACTGTAACAGCTTATATGTAACAGCTTATAGACGCTTACTTACATTACATAAAAACATTTAGTGTAACAGCGTAAATGTTTTTATGTAATGTAAGTTAGCGTCTATAAGCTGTTACAGTAAATGTTTTATGTAATGTAAGTTAGCGTCTATAAGCTGTTACAGTAAATGTTTTTATGTAATGTAAGTTAGCGTCTATAGCTCTTACAGTAAATGTTTTATGTAATGTAAGTTAGTGTCTATAAGCTGTTAAAGCAAATGTTATTATGTAATGTAAGTACGCGTTTATAAGCTGTTACAGTAAATGTTTTTATGTAAGTTAGCATCTATAAGCTGTTACACTAAATGTTTTTATGTAATGTAAGTAAGCGTCTATAAGCTGTTACAGTAAATGTTTTTATGTAATGTAAGTTAGCGTCTATAAGCTGTAACAGTAAATGTTTTTATATAATATAAGTCAGCGTCTATAAGCTGTTACAGTAAATGTTTTTATGTAATGTAAGTTAGCGTCTATAAGCTGTTACAGTAAATGTTTTTATGTAATGTAAGTAAGCGTCTATAAGCTGTTACAGTAAATGTTTTTATGTAATGTAAGTTAGCGTCTATAAGCTGTTACAGTAAATGTTTTTATGTAATCTAAGTTAGCGTCTATAAGCTGTTACAGTAAATGTTTTTATGTAATGTAAGTTAGCGTCTATAGCTCTTACAGTAAATGTTTTTATGTAATGTAAGTTAGCGTCTATAAGCTGTTACAGTAAATGTTTTTATGTAATGTAAGTTAGCGTCTATAAGCTGTAACAGTAAATGTTTTATGTAATGTAAATTAGAGTCTATAAGCTATTACAGTAAATGTTTTATGTAATGTAAGTTAGAGTCTATAAGCTGTTACAGCAAATGTTTTATGTAATGTAAGTACGCGTTTATAAGATGTTACAGTAAATGTTTGTGTGTGTGTGTGTGTGTGTGTGTGTTTGTAAATAACAGGAATAAACTTTTTATTTTCTCAAACTTTAAGTCACTAATAACGATTGTTAATATTATTTTTTTTCTTTTTCACACAGGTGGCGTTGTCCAGCCCTCTGAAGCATCATTACAGCCTGGGGAAGACGAAAGTACTGAAATTAATATATATATATATCTAGTTCTTGGATGAAAAACGAGTTTAAATCGTGTGCTGGTGCACTGAGAAATATCTTTGTCACTATTCAACATCATTTACCAAGTTGTCATATACCTATTACAACAAAAAATGGAGTGACAGGTCAACCTTGCACTCCATCGTGACTTATATCTGAATATTAACCCTCGTCTGGTGAATTTATATATATATAACATGAAATGTATTTCTAGACAACAACATCCAGGTTTGTTTTAAATAATTTTGTGTTTCGGTAAAAAAAACAGAAGACATTAGTTTCATCAATAGGGTTTCTAGCTTTGATGAACATGTGTGATTAGAACACTCTGGACAATGTCAGATATAGTTGGATTATCTTGATATGTTAAAGGACACTACAGAAAATCAAATATTTTGTAAACTAAAAATCAAACTCTCTTTAACTCACTTTTTTTATTTAATTTTAATTTAGTCCAACAGCATAATAGTTACTATTATGTAATAAACAATATTAACTTCTTTGATACTTTATGTCTTATTTAAAGACCAATGTTGTAAAATAACCTAGGTTGAATTTCGGTATTTATTAGCAGACCTTACAAAAGAGCTGACTGAACAATAATTAAATCAACAGAAGTACAATAGATCCCTAACAATAAAATCACTCAAGTATTGTAAGGAGTTTACGTATAGTTAATATGAACGATTCCAATGTCAGTTTTAGTAATTATAACTTCAGTATGGTAATTTCCACAAACTTTACTGACTCTGAAAGTTGGTCAAACAGAAGAAGTGGCCTGATTATCTCTCTAATTTCTATCATCTTGGCCTTACTTACTCTAATCACTGCTATTGGCAACATCTTCGTCATTGTTGCCATTTTAACAGATCGTATACTTCGGAAGGTTGGCAATTATTTAATTCTGTCCCTAGCCGTGGCAGATTTAATGGTAGCTTGTCTTGTGATGCCGTTAAGTGCTGTTTACGAGATTATGCAGGAATGGCGGATGGGTTCGATACTGTGTGAAATATGGACATCCTGTGACGTGTTGTGCTGCACGGCGTCCATTCTCCATCTACTGATCATCGCTTTTGACCGATACAGAGCAGTCATTCGCGTTGATTATGCTCGTCAAAGAATCCCCAGGGACGTTGGACTTATGATTTTACTTGCCTGGATCGTTGCCATAGCAATCTCTGTTCCCCCTATCTTTGGATGGAAAGACGAAGGCTTCCAGGAGCGAATAGAAAGAGAGAAAAAATGTTTGATAAGTCAAGATGTTGCTTATCAAGTATTCGCCACTTGCACCTCCTTTTACTTGCCCCTAGTGGTCATTCTTGCCCTCTATTGGCGGATATTTCAAGAGGCCCGCAGAAGAATCCGCCACAAACCGGGAACCAAGATTTCCCTTCAAGTAACAAAATCTGAGTGTACTAAACATTCAGAACCACCAAAAAACGAAGTTTCAACAGAAACAGATTTGTCGATTCCAACCTGTTCAACGGATTCGAATGCTGTCGGCAACAGTTCGATCCTCACAAAGAACAAAGGGGTGAAAGACAAGTTCTTTCATGTTGACAAAGTTCCGAAGAGGCAGGAAAGGGACCTAGAATCAAAACGCGAGAAAAAAGCTGCGAAAACCCTCGCAATAATTACCGGTGTGTTTATCGTGTGCTGGATGCCTTTTTTTGTTCTAGCCTTTATCATGCCCATTTGTAATGCCTGTTATCTGGACGACAGACTCTTCACTATGTCACAGTGGTTGGGTTACACAAATTCAATGCTGAATCCCATAATCTACACAATCTTTAGCCCGGATTTTCGTCAAGCTTTTAAGAAAATACTTTGTGGTGCTACTCGAAGACTTAGAACCAATTTATAAATATTTTGTTGAAAAATGTGTTCGTGATGTCAGTTCGTAGTTTTCACACAAGTTTCTAGATATAATGTCGATATTTTAGTGATGCTACGTTTGTGTTAAAAAGAAGCATATAGTGCCTTTAGTTTTGCAGACATCTTTGAAAAATATCTGGGTGCTTCCTTTTTCAATCGCTTTAGAATTAAAATACGAACAACAGGGACAGGTTAACCCAGAAACAGAGCGTCTAGCTCCAGGAAAGCACCTAAATTTGTATGTAGCGCTAACCAGTAGACCCAGAACAAAAGCATCCAGCTCTAGAAGGACCCCTAAATTTGTATGTAGAGTTAATGATTAAACCCAGAAAAAGAGCCTCTAGCTCCAGAAAGGCTTCGAATATATACGTAGAGCTAGAACATACTCCTGTTCCTGTTTTCAAAGAACTGTGAAAGAGAACTATAAATGAGGACGTTCTTTTTTGCACCACTCAGTAGAGTGTATAATAACTATTGGTTAAACAATATCAGGTGGCTAAAACGGTTCTTTTAGGGGTGTAGTTAACGAATTTGCCGCCAGAGAATCTAACTGCATGGCTTTGTCTACTGTGTTAGCACTTTTTATATCTGAATGGTATTGATGTCACAATCTTTATATAATCCACCACTAATAATAGTAAGCCTAGAGCCTCTACGTTCGTTAACCTAACCATAATACCATTCTTTACATCTCCTGACTTGTCAAAAACGTTTACAGACTGGTCTGTATTTGTTGGATGGTAATGGTAATTATATAGTAGATTTTTGTGGCGTCAGTTCCTCTGTGTTCAACGAAACAGTTTAAGATATTATTGAATAAAACAATCATTGTTAAAGAATACGTTTCATTATCCAATGTCCGTTCAGTAAAATTTCCATTATCCAATGTCAATTCAGCAAAATGTTGCGTTATCCAATAATCGTACTGTAAAATGTAACATTATCCAATAGCTACCAACAACTTGCTTATTTAAATAAAGTTGCAGATACTGTGTGAAATAAATGGACGAGTACGTTTCCATCCAGTTCTGTGCTATTGTAAAATGAAACTTTAATTTGTAATTAACAAAAATCATATAATTAACCATGAAGAGTATATATATAGAACCTAAATTATTCTAAAACTGGTTTAAAATAGATAAAATCAGATTCAGCGATGGTTGAATGAGCAGATTTTTAAGCTTTATATTTCAGTTTAAGGAGTGAGGAAATTACTTGGACCATATTTTGTTTTTACTCAAACTGAAACTCACGTGTAAGAATCGCTCATTTTGGCGTATTGTTGCGTGATATATATGTACATATATTTATCATAAAATTTACGTTACATGCTATTATTACAAGTATAAATTGAAGCAACTCAAAATTACATACGATCCTATAGCATTGTAACTTTTCGTAATTAATGCTGTATTTGATTTTGGTGTTACGTAAAATATACGTACGATCACTTCTGAGCTGTAGACCTCGAGAACTTTGTGGCTGTATTAAATATGTTCGTTTAGCATGAATAAATAAATTTATTGATTTGGTTCGTTTTCAGTTATATTGTTGCCAGGGGGCAGACTGTACTTAAAAATTTCACCTAGAAAAAAACTAGAAAGGGCCAACAAGTTTGTCATAAAAAATAACTAAACAAGGTACTTTTCCAAGGGGGGCCTGTCGGGATTTTTGCCCGTCAGTCAGCGCCTGATTGTTGCTCTCTTCAGTAACAGCCTGACATGGCCGCATGGTTAAAGCACTTGACTCTCAATCTCCGGGTCGCGGGATCGAACCCTGCCACCGAGTATGCTCGCCCTTTTAGCCGTGCGGTCGTTAAAATGTTATGGTCAATCCACTCTTCGTTCGTAAAGAGTACCCCAAGAGTTAGTGGTGAGTGATGTTGACCAGTTGCCTTCCATCTAGTCAAACTTCAAAATTAGGGTCGACTAGTCCAGATAGACTTCGAGTAGTATTGTGCAAGATTCAATAAACTATTTATTTGCTTGCTGGGCAAATGGAAACTTGTCAAAAACAGTATATTTGTGGTAGCGTTCGTCATTCATTTTTTCTGATAACGAGGTGTAAAAAAATGTAATCGACTACTCGATACGCTAATCCACTTCAGGACTTCTTACTGGTATATAAAGAACGACGCTAAAATTTGGGATTCGATACCAGTGGTAAGTAGAGCACAGATATCCCATTGTGCAGCTTTGCACTTAACAACAAACAAACAAATTTTATTCTCCAGCTCCTTGAGGTACGCAACGATTGAACTGGAAGCCTTATCTTGTTAAAACCATACTCTGTTGGTCTCATTTCCAGACTGAGATCCATCTTGGTTATGTTGCCGGAACATGAACGAATGTTTCTATTGGTCTTTGTGTTCGTGTAGTCTCACCCGTTACAAGACGCCAAACTTTAGCTATAATGGATTTGGTACGACTTGTTGTGGGTATCTTTCTAGATGGTCCTGCTTCCCCAAACTGATCCATATTCCTTTGATTTCCTATGGTCTGAATACATCTTTATGAGCTGAATGTATGAACATTATGCATCGTAAAGGGCTGTCACATAACTTTCCCCAAAGCAATGAATTCAATCTACGTATATTTAACAGAAGCAACTACCTGCTAATTTTGAGTTGTTAGAATATATTTATTCTTGAAATCATGCCAAATCAACGGAGAATGGCAAATCCCTTTCTCATATCAGTTTACTCTCGTTCCCACAGCTCATTCCACATAGTTTGTTTAGAATTTCTTGTAAAGCTACACGAGAGTGCTCTGCGCTAGCCATCCCTAATTTAGCAATGATAGACTAGAGGGAAGACTGCTAGCCAACATCACCCACCGCCAATTTTTCGGCTACTCTTTATCAACAAAAAGAGTGACTGACCGTCACATTACGACTACCCCCCCCCCCACGGCTGAAAGGGCGAACGTGTTCAGTGGTGGGATTCGAACCCGCGACCCACAAATTGCTAATAATAAACATGTATGTATATGTAAAACTGCTATTATTCGCAATATACTTGACTAAAGTTTATCAAACGATAAATTAATACTGATCCCTTTTTTTTTTCGGGTTTGGTTTTGATTGTTTAGAATTTCGCGCAAAGCTACTCAGGGGCTATCTGCCCCTAATTTAGCAGTGACAGACTAGAAGGAAGGCAGCTAGTCAACACCACCCACCGCCAACTCTTTTACCAATGAACAGTGAACCCTCAGCTTGCAAGTCGAGCACCCTAACCACCAGGCCATGCCGGGTCCTTTCATATAGCTCAACTTAGAACATGTATATCTTCTGGTGTCACTGCAGCTTCCGGCTCTTTCTCACACTCACATAAAGGTAACACACTTTCCAATTACGTGTAATGTGTATGGTATTAGCTCACATTAGCTCATATGAATCGTTTTATTCATATGTATTAACTCTGGTTCCTAATTCACGTAAGAACAGGGTTAAAGTGAACAAAATGTGACGTGTTTATGAACTACCAACTACAGCTTCAGCTCAAGAAGCATTATCGTACGGATATAATTATTTTATACAGGATAATTGTGATTTACATTAAGTCATTAGCTTGAAGCGTTTCTTGATGATTATATAAAACTTTTGTTTTCAACTTTCGTTATATTTCATACATTCAGTGTTATAATTTATATTTTTGGTTTTATTTAATTCATTCAAATAAAAGTAGGCAGAAGTTGTATACCTCAAGTTAATACGTTTCGAAATAAAAAAAAACAGCAACAATCAGAGAGATTACATACTCTCGACCTGCCGCTCCTTTTCGGAGATTCCATGCGTTCACACTGGATAACGTCAAATTACTCCCTCGAAAACTCAGAAAATCCTTTTCAGATCCAGAATGATCAACGATCCGAATCATTTTTTGTAGTGTGGTGAGGAGTCTCAACCTTAATGTTCCCATGAAATTTGGAACAAATCCGATCACATTTTACAGAGTTATTAAACCAAAACCGCGGAAATGCATTATCTCTTCATTATAAAAAAAAATGCTTCAAAGTGATAGAGAATCTGGATCCCATACTGACTTCCCATCTTGAGTGAAACATCGGTTTATCAAAATACGCGCGCGAAAACACAGACAGACACCTGATACATTACATTTGTTAGGCCACTGGTGGGGGGGGGGGGGGGGGGGTCATTATAGTTTGCCGAGTTTCAAAAAATAAACCAAGCTCAATCTAAACAAAGTTAAATGTAATATTTATTCTTTTAAATCAATAAAAAAAAAGACTAGTAGATAGAGAGAAAAACGGAGCCTTTAGATGATG